AAGATAAAAATTGTGCAAGTTATGGCAGTAATAAAGCGATGAGATCGTGTTAAGTTTTATTACACTGTGATCGTCCATCGCTCTGGATATCAGAAAGTCGTAACCTGGAATATTTAACATCGTCTAAATACCATTAAACGCAACAATATATTTAAAAAGCACATAAACGCTACAATAACGATTTGAAATTTGCATTTGGAGAAGTGAACGGACACATAAATACCCCCTTTACTCAATAAAGTTATTAATAATCGCCTCCGCGCCCCTCTTATAAATAATCGCACAAAACCGAGACTCGGAAAAAATACGAGACGGTTATACCAAGTCAGTTTAGCATTTTTAGCGAATAACACTGTCGTTTTGTTGCCTTGTTGACAGGGTGTCCGCTCACGAAATAAAATATAATTACCGAAGACGCGATTTCGGAGCCGTCCTGCTGGCAAAAGACGCTTTCTTTCTCGGATTAATAATGCATTAAACTAACATTTTTAGCCGTGTTTAACACTTTTGCCGCCATTGTGCCGAGTTTAACGCCCGCTTGTTTTATAGCTGACGCCGGAATTTCGGTAATTGTTGTTTCTTTCGAGAGTTTTACGTGATTTGGTCAACTACACCTGCGAGGCGAATGCACGCCAAAGTTCATGACACAGCAGCGCGAAACTAACCCAGAAAACATCAAAACGCGTTTCTATTCAAAAAATTGCGATTTGTCTCTCATTCAAGTTAATAACTGCAACCGCATTGAAACGTCGCTAAATCATCGCGGCGTTTATTTATAAATGGAAATTGCAGTCGGCAATTTATTATTACTGAGCAAATGCATTTATATTTATTTGTGTTAAAGTGAATCGAGTTCTTACAGGGTAAAGTCTTAAGTAGTTTATTCGCGATCGATGAAATGTAAATGCAGCTAATGATGTAAACTGACCGTGCGTAAAAATCCAACTCAAAGACTCCGTTTATTGGCAATCCCGCGAGGTCAAAAACAAAACCGAGCTTAACCTCGTCTAAACCACGATTATCAATTCTCAAATCTCCGATTAGTTTGGCATTGTGTGAAGATTTCTTTGCTTTCACTAATAAATTAAATCGGATTAGTTATGACCTGGATTAGATTGACCTTTGAGGGCGTCGCAGGGCGCCCATAACACACAACTTGGTAAATTCGTAAATTATCCGATTATATGCGTGCGAACCAAGTTTGTCGATCTATACGAGTTTAATGAGCCACACAGGACTTAATACTTCCAAATCCGAGATTAATTACGACTCCTTTCTTCCGTAATAACATTATTAGAGTTTTATACAAGAGCCAACAGCTCATTTCGGCCACAACAATTGTCGATGATTGATATTTCAACTATCGAAGTTTAAATGAGGATACAATGAGAGAAATCAAGTTTTGCTAGAGTTTGAGTTGTGTCGTTAAGATGCGATTAATGTCAGATGGATTCGCCGGTTGTGAAGACTGAGATATCAACCGATTAATATAAGAGACCAGTTTTCGGATGTGGTATGCAGTAGCAATGTTACACCCCGTCGATTTCAGCGACGTTTCAGATCGCGTGACCGATTTGTTTTTATGAAAAATCGAGACGATCGCCAAAAAGACATTAATCTACGAAATTTGGTGATATTTCAACGTGGAAATCCACAGAAAAAACGCCAAGATTGATTCGAGAAGGATATATCAAAGACTAGATGACAGAAAACATTTTTATTCTGCCACCAAACCGCACCTTGTTAAAATTTCACAAAGTGGGAATATTTATTTCAAATTCTTTTAGAGACGCTAATCCATTTTTTCCAACAACACTGCTCAACACCAAAATCCTCCTTTAGCCTCTATATTCCTGTGTGTGTTGAATACTAATTAAAAAACTAAAAGAGGTCTTTTCAAAAGCAAGGTTCCAAAAAATTAAATGCGACTTTCTCAAAATTTCTTCAATCAAAATAGGTTTCAAATTGGCATTTCGCCTCCTGAAGAAACATGGAGTCTAAAGAAGGGAAAAAGTAAGAATTTATAGGGCAACGTAATTTACAAATTGAATCGACCAAAAAATTATCGTCTTCAGCAATCTCTCCAAACTGAGGTTTGGAATTTGTTAAAAATTGCCGTTGCCATTCGTCCATCAATCGTGCTTGAACAATCGTGTCCTTAAAAGCGCTAAGTGGTCCATCATCAGGCTCAATACCGCTCATCAGTTCATTCATTCTCGTCGTAAAAACCGTAATAGTAGCGATGGAGCCACCCATCCGCTCAAAAATCGTGATTAATAGTAAAGTTAATTTATGGTTACATCTATATCGTGTCGGTAAAAACCAATAAATATGGCGGAAGCGTTCGAGTGATTACTAAAAACGGTCGATCATGTAAAAACCAATCTGGAACAAAATCAATTGTCCAAAGTATAACATTTATACCACCTTAAGGAAGCATAAATCTCTGTTAAAGCAGCAGCAGGAAAGTTAATTGGCCGAAGAACAATCTATAGGAGATTAGAGCGACCAGATCGTGACTACCATCTTTGACTGATATCGCCGCCAGATTAATAATACCTTGAGGAACTCTTTAATTAGAACAACATCCCCTGCCCTCGACCAAATTACGTCACTTGACCGATTTTGCAATTGCACTAACAAATAGTCGAGTCACCGGTCGAAAGTTCATTCATTTGATATTCGATTTTTTAGATGTCCTCACGAAGTTGCCCTTTTACCGGACAAGAATTTATTTAATTGAAACAATTCAATTATGCGCGAGGTAAACTTCGTTATTATGCCTTTTCTAAAATCGCTTCGAGATCGCGATCTTATCAATTCGGTGTTGGAAAATCGCTCAGTAGCACTGACTTAATCACCGATTTCTATTCATGACCAACGCGACTTTCCCAAACGCACAACTCGATACAATTTAATTAAAACATTTAACATTGATAGGGGAAACTTGTATGAATCCGACCTTAATGCATCGCGACCATTTAGATACCGACGAGAATTCACTTTGTTCGACATAAACGTTTCGATAAATCCACATTTATCACTTTATAATCCGAGATCTGGAAATTGCTTTTTTACAACCTCAATAAAATCGACAAGACGAGACACAAGCTAAATATAAATCATTTTTTCTACAAGTCGAGCTTCTGGCACGGGCTCATTTAATAAATTGACATACATAATGTATTGCGGTCGGGATGGCAACCAGAGGCGCACCACTTCAAACTTTTGCCAAGAGAAAAATGGAAAGTCTTCCAACTGTCGATGTCGCTTTCTTCCTCTTCACCGCTCGACGAATTCCAACAAATAATTAAACCCAATTTAGATAAAAAAATAAAAGCATTTATGTACTCTATACGAAGAAGTAGAAAGCTTATCACACTTCCATTCTCGTATCCTCGTATTAGATAATCGAATTCTTTCTGCAAAAAATCAGATTCGAGTTTCAATCTCAAATTTAAGAATTGACGAGCCGCCTGTGTTGGCTGTTTTCTAAATCCGCGGTAATATGCATGCATTCCATATCATTAGGCCTACAAATTGCATCTACGTATGCTTTGCAAAGCATGTATCGTCGATTGTTTGGCATTTTTCTGGCTTGCATCGTCGTTGGCATTCTGTTGGAAGAAGCGAAATCTTTTTTCAAATGTTAGCCATATGCATAATGAACGTATAGTGCGCGATTCTCTTATTGTTAGTGGTAACAATCAGCTAGATTTGGACTTTCACACTAAAAATACCGCGATGATGTAGGCGTCGTAATTCAGCCAATCAAAATTCAAATCGCGACAGCTCGGCACCAATCGCGATTAGGTTTACGAATCCGTATCCGGGGATCCGGGGTGACACCTGCTGCGTGATCATTAAAATACAGAGCGAGGAAATTTTCGAGTCGTGTAGTCGGGGATTAGCATAAGAAAACACGTCGAGATTTTCGCTAGACAATGGGCCGGTTTCAGACTTCATTAATATCATTATCCTGATTGCCATATAATTACAATATTATAAATAATAAATAGGAGCTATTAACTTGTAACGTTGTCCTTCCAAGGACGCGCCCGCGACTCTACATATTTATGGACTCTATTTTGAATTGATTTTTTAGGTTGCGCGAATGTGAGAGAGGGAAAATTCGTGTCATTAACACACAGACCATAGGATAAATTCTAATTAAAACCCTTTTAAGAGGATCGCCGAAGATCACCTTGACTCCGAAAGAGCCGACATGATTTTTTCTAAGCGACTTAAACAGCTTTGCATTGACCGACAAGACGAACCCACTTTTTACCCGCGAGTACTCTTAATCAACCAAAAAGGTGGTCTTTTGTTCGTTAATTACTTGCATTTTAAAATTGGGCCCAGTCGAGATTCGCTGTTTTTCCAATTTTTGCACAAAAATAAAATATTTGACCGCCTTTTTAATCGTTTCGTTAAGTGATGGTTGCATAATTAGTAATTTAAAGTCTTGATGAAAAGTAAAATGGGAACTAAAGCAAGAGTTTTTGACGATGTAGCAAGGTGGTTTTATCTTTTATAAGTGACATTAAAAATTAAAAATTCAGGAATTTTGAGTTAATCAAGTTTTGCAATAAAATTCTTAATTTCATTTCTCGTTGAAAGTTTTAATTAAAAATCACAATTTACTTAATCATTAAAATTTTAAGTGGAGGAGATAAATTAGTGACTGTTTTTGGCTCAAAACTGTCACCTAATTTATTACAAGCCATTTAATTGTTACAACTGTAATTGCAAATTAAGATTAATCGTAATCATTTAGTGACTCATTAATTATAACTAGTTTTGATTTGGGTTTCGGTTGTAAATAAATAAAGGGGAAAAAATATTGTTAAAGTTTGTCTAATTCAAGAAGATAAATGGGTGTATAATTTGGAAAAGTGGAGTGATTTAATTAGTGAATAAGTGTGTCATTTATCAAAAAACTTACCTGCATTTCGCTGTGTGTTTGTCAATAAATCTCAAACTAATAAATAAAACGACAATTATGCAGAAATAATATATTTATCTGCTAAGATTTCGATATATTACATAAAAGCGACTTCTACTTATAAATAAATATGAGCATGACTGGCTTTAAGTAAATGTCATGCTGCAATATTGCAACTGCAGTCGTATATATCAGTATATAAAATAACTCAATATATACAGTCCATCGTAAGGCACTTGGAACTTTACAAGAAATGCCACCACATTTAACAATAAATTAACAACGCTTTTTACAAAAAAATCCGGAATGCTCGGTTAGCTGAACCCCGCGAGGAACGGATCGAAGTGACTCAAGTGGTCGCTTAAATCCGGCGAAAGCGCGAGCGAATCCTCCGGGAACTCGACGGAGAAGTCCGCCGGAGTGAGCGAATGGTCGCTCAGATCACTATGCAACGGCAACGATTCACCGTCCGACTCCAGGAGGAAACAGTCCAGCTCACTGCAATCCGAGAGCAAATCCTGGGCCGGCTCGTTACTTAGCACTGCACTCAACGCGGAAATGTACTTCATCGCCAACCGCAACGTGGTGATCTTCGTCAGCTTCTCGTTGCTGGGGTGCGTGACGCCCATCTGGGGGACGGCCCGTCGGAGGGCCTCGAACGCCTGGTTGATCTCCCGCATCCGACTGCGCTCTCTGGCGTTGGCGTTCTTGCGGCGGTACTTGCTGAGCGGCGCCGGCTTCTGCTTGGGTTTGGACTTGAGCGACTTGGAGACCTGGACGTCGTCGCCGCGGCGGCGCACTGATCGCGGCCGCAGAGAGTACTTGTCGCCGCGGTTGGGTTTGGGGTTGTTGTTGGAGTCGGTGTAGTCCGAGGCGAGACCGAGGCGCTCGGACAGCTCGTCGTACTCCAGCATGATGCTGGCGAATGGACCGCGGAGGCGACACTGCCGCTCAGGTAGAGGTTCAAGCCAGACTTATCTCCCACTAACGCGTTGCGGGACTACTCCCGCACTGCTCGACACGAGGCGCACTAAGGGCGAGATGAGAAGAGGATGGAATTCGGTTACTTCCTGGACGGTTTTCAAGAGTTGTAAACATTCAAGACGTTGAATAAATACATTTTGAGTGTGTTTGATTAGGCGCTCGTAAAATTTTAGCTCCGATGGTCACATATTTGCCAATTCTGAGAGATTCCATTATTTGTGGGAGATTTTTGCATTACATATTAGGTACAATTCATACTTCATTTCTTTTATATATCCACGTAAAAAACGGAACATAAATGCTTTAATTTAAAGTATTGACTAATGAAACCTAATCTACATTTCGAATAAGTGTTGTACTTAGAATAGTAATAGATCCTCAGATGCTAACACAAAAAAAGTAATTATTCTAACACGTAACTAGAAATAAGCAGCGATTTTTTTAGTAGGTGAAAACTAAAAAAAAAAATAAATACAGAATCTTTCAAAACACGTTTATTTTGTTTTTTCTGGCCTCTACGGAGTATTATCCTTGTAAAATAGTTTAAAAAAATGTATATTTCATATTTTTCAGGCATATGAAGTTACGAATTTAATTTCAACGTCCATAAATGGGTTTTTATCATGTATCATATGCAATTAAACAAACTGAACTGTATAACTGGTTTTATAACAGATAGGCTCCTTCTTTTTTGATTTATTAATAAATTATTATCGTCTGAAATGTTTTTAAATTTTCTATCTTCATTTGCTTTAGACACAAAACTTTTTAAATAGCACAAGAGGTCAAATTTAACATTTTGGAAAAGAGATTTTTTTATTAATTTAACATATTTGAATAAAAAAAGAAAAAAACATGCATTTTCTCTGTTTCTTTTATTTTACAAAAGATGTTCAAAATGCTTTCTAGTTACTTTTTGACAAAAAAGACGTTAGACAAAATTTTGTAAAAAATTAGACAGAATACTAGGACAAATTTGAGCAATTAATATTATTGTACCTTTCTATCTACATTTATTAGCGACCATGCACGTTAAATAGTTTTATCATATACTATAGTTTAAAAAGTAAAAACGTTATTTTAGTAAAACAAATACGTAATCTTTATTTTTTAAATTGGATCAAATAACATTTTTAACACTTTTAATATGGTGCTAGAAATTCAGAAAAGTGCATAAAATGTTATTGGGATGAGTATTCGATTACCGTCTAAAAAACCGGAAAACTAATAGTTTAAAAGTTATCAAGTATAGATTTTGACTATTTTCTCTATAAATATTTATCGTAGAACATTGATGTTTTTTTATGAGGTAGAAAATTAAAAGTGATTTCTAACGGTAATACACACAAAGAGGATATTAATTTTCAGAGTTATTATCTAATATAATCTCCAAAAATTGATAAAAATTTTGACAAAAATCGAAAAAATTGAAAACTTTAAAATCGAACCAAATGCACTCAAAAAGACTCAAAAAATTTTTGTCTAAATTAAATTCAAATTCATTTACTAATATTTCAAATAAATGTTAAAAGATGGCGCAGCGCTTAAAAGATTAAAAACATAAGTGTAATAAGTATTGTGAAACTGAGAAATACCTATGTTTATACGTAACGAAAAATAGGTAAATAAAAATGAAATATAAAGTAAGAAAAGGCAAGTAAAGTAAGACAAAATGAAGTGTATAATATACTAAAGAAATCAATTTAAAATATGTCTTTTTAAGTAAATATAGGTTGTAAAGTTCTTGA